TCCCCTGGAACTGGAGTTATGGACAGTTATTAGCTGCCATGTGGGTGCTGGTATTCAAACCAGGGTCTTCTGCAAGAACAGCCAGTGTTCTTAAGTGCTGAGCCATCTCTCCAGCCCCAAAACATGAGATTCTTAAAACCTAAGTAACTCCTTGCAGTCATAGTCCAGGAGTGACAGGTAAAATATGAATGGCAAAGCCTTCCTCCTGTTCTTGATCTTGCTGTCGCCTCTCTCAGGAGTGAGAGAATGAGAGCCACAGAGAAGGTAGCACAGGTAGGAGGTAAAAACTGCTCTGCCTCCAAGGTGATAATCTTCTCCCACCCCACCCCGTGCTTCCTCCTAAGCTTGCTCAGACCTCTCAGGGTGAGAGAAATGAGCCACAAACTTGCTGGCCCCCTTCCTATAAGTGCTGCTGCTGTGGCTTTGTAGGTTAATCTGCTGGACAAAGATGGGAAGTCATCTTCACCAGCAAAATTGTCACAGCTTCTGGGAACCAGGCACCTTGGACACTAAATAATACCACAGCTATCTCCCTAGCACAGGGAGAAAAGTACTTCAAATCTCATGCTGGTTATTCCTTGAGTGGTTACTCATGGTGAATGATGACGCCCAGGTTTAAACTCTAGGCAAACAGCCAAGTAGTGGCAAGAACATTATGTTCCCCTTGAATAATGATTCTCAAACTTTTGCCTCATAACCCTTTGTATTATTATTATTTTAAAATAACCTTTTGTACCCAGCCCCACAGCTTCCTGGAGCCAGCAGCTTGCCTGGGTAAGTTTGGCTGCTGTACCCACTGCACCTTGACTCCCCCAGCTTCATTCATTCACCCTCCCAGCTCTCCCACCCCATCTCTCCTCCTAGCAGGGGGACTGAAACATTTCCTGTCTTGGCACCCCAGACCTCTGGACTGACCTCTTGGCCCAAACTCTCCACTGCTTCCTGATCCTTTGCATCCAGACCAACCCAATTCCTCCCTGTAGTCCCCAGGAGACCTCAGACATCTTCTCACTCCCACCTCCCTTTGCATCCCTGGGGGCCAGCATCTTTCCTGGGCCCTGCTCCCAGGCCAGCCCAGCCCTCAAATTCCTGAGACCAGCATCTTTCCTGGAGGGATCCAGACCCTAGGAGAAAGCCTGAGACCATCTGATCCTCATCCAACTTGGGCATTTGTGGGAACTCCTGAGCAGCATGATGAAAGTAATTTGGCCACTCCAATATGAAATCAAAAGAGAGAATCTGAAGCCTAGACCAACTAGCTTTTCATGCCCAACAAGTAAACCACAAAGACACATAAAGTTTACAAAAAGAAGTAGACTTAAACTCAACAAAGGAAGGCTTGAATCTCATACAAGAACCAGAAACTACAGAAGAAATCCACATGCCAAAGTCACAGAGAAAAGATAATAATAAGGAAAAACCAAAATAATGTAGCCCCACCAAGTACCAACAGTCCCCTAGAGGAGTACAGTGAGAACTGACTAGAGATAACAGGACATGAAACTCAAAAGAACAATTATAAACATGATATAAGAATTCAGTGAATTTAAAGAATACACAACGAAATAAAAGAACTGAGAGAAAATAGGGATAAAATTCTGAATGAATTCAGAAAAGAGTTAGAAATGTTGACGAATACTCAGGCTA